CCAAAACTATACAAATTGTACACCGTTTGGACTATTCAACGATTGAATGTTATTCGGGACGTGATGTTTCACTCAGGGGATGGTATATACAAACACATAAAAGAAAAGGAACCTGCCCGAATGTATGAACCTTATTTTCAACACTTCGAGTAAAGGACCACGCTCAATCCTTATGGAAAATGTTTTTCTGAAACTTGGCAAATCGGTAGTTCTTAACACGCTGATCAAAAGTTTCAATGGGAACAAAGCCCAAAAACCCCTCCAACCCTTTCGAATTCGACCCCCAAGGGCGAAAAGCTGATCATAGACCGATTGCCTTACCGCAATATTCTCCCACTTTGCTAACACCACCACCACCACCACCGCAACCCCCAACACAGACATCTCATCTAAACGTAACAAAAGATGCTTGATGACTATTCATTGTTTACGAGTCGTAAAACGTTTTACTACTATCACTACCGACAACTGATTCACATACTCCAAGAATATTAAAATAGGTTTTGGCGGAACTGTACGGGAAGTTCTAACCTTAAAGAAAAAATAGAAAACCCTTTCAAGGGTATATCTATACATGAATCTAAATCCTATGCAGTGAGTTCTACACTAAAGACTTTTCGGTACTTTTTCAACAAAATTTTTCAAAATTTTAGTTTTTAAATGACCTCCCATTAAAAACACAGCCACACAAAAAAGCCTCCCGATCACGAATCCGGTGTCACAATTGAGCTATCACATCACAGGAATTTCCTAACCTCAAAAAACAGGTCATAAATAGCAAAAATTCACGAAAAAGTGTTAGGAAAAATACAAAAAATTTTTTTTTTATATTCAAATGTCCATTTATATGGTTAAGACCCAACCGAATGTGAATTCGCGGTCAGAATTGGTGTTTTTTTTTCTAACCTCAAAGAAACGGGTCATTAAGGTCAGATATCACGAATTTTCAAAAAATAACAGATTCGCGCCAAATTTGGTATACGGGGGTTTTCGGGGTCGCTGATTACGTATTCGAGGTCAGAATTGCGAAATTTATTTTGTAATAATTTTGTTTACTTTAGGTATAACCTGAGTACCCAGTCATATTTTAACCCTCTTTTTTTCGGCTAGGTATATCTTATTCTTTTTTCTGTAAAAGAACTATTCACGGGTTTTCTGCCTAATCTCAGGTAATAAAGTACACAGGTAACTGATTAAATTTTTGAAAACGAATTTTATAAATCTGATCTCAGATTCGTGATTAGTGACCCCGGAAACCCCTGTATACCAAATTTTGCGCGAATGTGTTATTTTTTGAAAATTTGTTGGGCTGCCATCTTGAATTTTGTAAAATTGACCTCGAATTCGTGATCAACGACCCCGAAAAACCCCCTCATATCAAATTTGACACGAATCTGTGATTTTTTGAAAATTTGGTCGGCCATTTTGGATCCGCCATCTTGAATTTCGCAATTCTGACATCGGATACGTAATCAGCGACCCCGAAAACTGCCGTATATCAAATTTGGCGCGAATCTGTTATTTTTTGAAAATTTGGTCGGCCATCTTCAATTTTGCTAAATTGACCTCGGGTTCGTGATCAGCGACCCCGAAAACCCCCGTAAATTTGGCGCAAATCTGTTATTTTTTAAAAATTCGTGACCTTAATGACCCGTTTCTTGGGGTTAGAAAAAGAACCATCAATTCTGACCGCGAATTCACGTTCGGTGGGGTCTTAAACATATAAATGAACATTTAAATATAGAAAAAAAATTGTTTGTATTTTTTGTGTGGCTGTGAAATCTATAGGAAATAAATAAGGAGATCCTGCTATTCAATAAGTCCGTTCCAATCCAATTTTCAGTACACAGTTTGTCATTTTTTTTTACTTTTTTTGCCCGTTAGAAATTTATATGCTCCAACTGTGTCGAAGTCGCGTCTTTTGCTAAATGATACTTGACATACAAATCCGTTTTCACTTTAGCATAATGCTTTGTTTTGATACTTTTTTTTGCAGCTTTTTAGATAATATATTATTGAAGGTGTCTGCATTTCGTCATTTATTTTTAAATGAAAATTCTGTCTGTTTAACAAGAATAATGAATTAGTTGCAAAGTGAAACGACCTAAAAAATGTTATTAAAATATAGAGCCAACTTACAGTTAAAAGAAGTTGTGTTCTTGTACTAATGTAGGAATCATTTGTCTGATGCGATCTCTGAATACTGGATATCAGAAGTAGCAACTAAAAACAATTTAAATTTGTTGCTTAAATTTAGATTTTAATACTTACCTTTAAAACTTTATTTATTATTGATAAAAGAATTCGCAATACTGCCTACGGTATTACGACAAATAAATATGCTGCAATAAATATCATTTTAAACCAATTTGTAGATATAGGTATATTTTTTCCCTAAATATCTGCGTTGATTAACTCGAATAAAGCAATGTTTGTTTTGCAATAGGGGAAATTGGTAAACAAATAAAATTGGCAATTACAAAGTTTGAAAATATCGCATAGTTAAAAAATATTTTTAAATGATCACTACGGCCATGGGCTTTATCGTTCTGAATAATCACCTTTTTATAGTATTGATAATACAACAGTTTGAAACTGTTATTAGTCATTTAATTATATAGACTAGATACTGACAATCGTCTATTGGAAAAATGCTATCGCTATCTCTAAAGATGTCCAAAGAAATTGTCGACGTCGTTTGAATGACTCCGGAATATTTTTGATACGAATGTGCGAAAGACCATTCCACTTTCGTATGCATAGATTTCGAGCTATGGATATTTACCTGGAATATCAGATTTTCTTCAGAGGAGTGTCGACTTAACAATATACTATCCACATTCTTCTCATGCTCAACATTTTTAAACAGCGGTTCATGAACAATAATTTATTACTTTAACTGTCATAACTGTAATATCACTCGTAAAAATATTTCCCATACCACATAACTGAATAATTAGCACTGTAATAATATATTTCATAATATACGAAATTTAAAGGTGAAATCAAGTTTGTTTGGTCTTTTATTTCGGAAGATATTGTTTAAGTAGTAATAATAGTAGTAGTATACAAGGTAGTAAAATTTTTCAAAAACTTTATTTTTGCCAATATCTTTCTATCTCGGTGTCGAATGCGGTTAATTCCAAGAAAGTGATGCAGAATTGGAATTCTATCTCAACAAATATCGTATTTTAGTTTTGTTGGCTTCACTCACAATTTCCAAATGTTTTCTACATTGACTTCTAATGTAATAACATTAATTCCTTCAAAACTTAAACTCACTCTTGCAAAACACTCGCAATGGAAAAAAAAATTGGTAAATATGTATGCATGTATATGTGCTTTGCATCCCCCCAAATATTATTTACAGCGATTCTACGACTAAAACTCAGAGAAAAAGTTGGGCTAAGAGTCCTCAGAGACCAGCACCTAATAGTTATCTTTTTTCGGACATCTCCAAAATTCATAAAGGCAGAACCATGAAATTTTATATCAGGGAATCCAATACCTAAAAAATGATAAAGGTGTTCCATAGTGGAGATTTGTACTTTTTTAATCGTACCTTTCAACTGCTTGATCAGAAAATAAGGTCAGTTAATTTTTCTGTGGAAAAATAATAGTGAATCTTGATAAATTTAATCGGTTTGGAGTAAAATTGATTTAAAAATTATATTAGGTACATGTCACAAAAATGTCTGTTATAAACTGTAAATCATTTGAGTTGATAATAAATAAACCATGACGACCAGAAGTATAGATTACTCAAAAATTTTTTGTGAAAATTTGTTGAATGTTGTGTAAAATAAGTTAGGGTATAACTGTTATAATAATAAAAGAAAAACATACAAAAAGGAAAATCAGTAAAACAAGGATATAAGATAATATTAGGTTATAACTAAATTGCTCTTTATTCTCTAATTGTAAATAAATACAGAGCCTACAAAAAGTCACGTGACCAGTAATTTTGTTTGATATATTTGTGCATGAAATGGTCATTTTCGGGCTTGATTTCCTGGTCTATATATCTAATATAGATTACTACTGTTTATTTATTTTATTGTCGCTACAAAATTTCCGATGTCTAGTCAATTGCTTTTTTGTTACACCAATTTTAAAGTTTAAAGTTATTTTTTCGTGCTATGATAATGTTAAACTACACTTACAAATTTTTCCAGGTCTAATTTATGTTTGTTTTTTTATTATTTTTCAATAGAACATCGATCAGATTTAACTTGTTACATGTAATATTTCCATGACAATTATGCATAAGTATTTAAAAAAAGTCATAGGCGTAGAAGTTATGTTTTATTTTTGCTTATTTTTCCGTAATGAATAACCCTTTAAAATTTGTGTTTTTTTCAACAGACAACTTGTACAGGTTCAAAATTATTTTCATTAAAATTTTCTCCCCCAAACTACATTTATATTATTTGTTATTACAAACCATATTTACTCCATGATTCTACGTTGATGTGTCTATAAAATTTTAGTATGAGCATTAAAGTAACTCGAGTAAGTAAAAAAGCACGTCAAAAAGTAATAAAGCTGAGATCGTTTTACAACTAAGTGGACAACAAAAAATCATCTTCGACTACTTAGCTTATCTCCTTGCTATAAAACAGCAAAATTGCGATTTCAGTATGCATATCTCTGTAGACGCGTATATAATATTAGCTATTAATAGTAACTCTACTTTGTAGTAGTTAGAACTATTAATGAGTACTAAAAGAATTAATATCTTTTGTGCAACTGTCTCGGTTTCAAAAATACAATACTTGTAAGTACGTTTTCAGTCAAGAAATTTGAATAATTCCAAATATTTCGAATTGTCACTACCAAGAACGGCGGTGACAACATTTTTAACATTAAGACAGCGATATTTCGCATCGTATTAGCTATGTCCTGTATAACAGAAAAATATTGATATCAATGACTAAATAAATAAAAACATAACATAAAACAAAAAAGTATGACTATACTGAACTATATTCGTTTTGCAGATACCAACTCGAAAGAACAACGATCCAATCGTTCAAGAAAATGCCATAAGTGGGTGGCTGGCCTTTAAATTTTGAATCTATTTAGTGCCATAAAGAGGAAAGACGTACTTTTACGGATAAAATGTGATAAAAATGGCTTTGAAGCTACGAAAAGACATAAAGAAGTCCAGCTACTACGTGTGGTTCCTGGGCGCCAAAGAATCCAAGGGTCTGAGGGGGTCGGAGTACATACTACCGGTGATAAAACACTTGGAAGAAAGAGAAAAAGACGTGGAACCCTTCAAAGTGACGCTCCAAGTGTCTCATAAGGGCTTGAAAATCATCCAGAACATCGTATCGCAAGGCCAGAAGAATTCCAAGCCTAAGAACGAAACTATAAAGCATTTCATCCCGCACAACACCATCACTTGTGTCTACCAGCACGATGACATAATAGCCTGTATCTTGTTGTTGTTTAACCCCGTGACGAAATGTCCCCTGCACGTGCACGCGTACAGGTGCGACAGTCTGGAGACTGCCACGTTGCTGAAGAACCAGCTGCAGACGCTCATCGAAAGGCCTGAGAATCAGAAAAAGTTCGCCGAGATAGAGAACAGGCTGAAGCCTCAGAAGGAGGTGAAGAAGGTGGAGAGTAGTATCGGCAGCGACACAGGGACGTCTACAAGGGAGAGTGAGAGCAGTGAGGAAAGGTAAGAAGCCCCTTTACTTTTTTTAAATTAAGTTCTTGGCTGTTTTTGTAAGTTTGTTAATTTTATAATACCGTCATTTTGAAGGTTTTCAAAAGATTACAGATTATAATCGATATTGTTCGAGATGTATTATCGAAGACCAAGGAAATTGCAGGACGTGTAAGAGTGATTCACAACTTATACAATGAAAAATTTGGAGTTTTGCTCTATTAAAAAAAAGAGACGATATCACCAAGAGTTACAAAAAAATATTTACAGATTTCGAGGAATAGTATTTAAAATTATATCGACTGTCCCAAATTTCACTCAAGATTTGAATTTTGCGCCATTTGTGCGGTAATGTGCTGTCAACGAAAACAAAATAAAACAGCAGCGTGACAGCTGGCAGTTTAGGGTTGTTAAAAATTGAAGCGCTACACGAAAGAACAAAGCGTATTCATTGTTGAGCAATATTTTAAAAATAATTAAGGTTTGGTAGCTGCAGTTCGCAAATTTCGTACAAAATATCGTCGGAATAGTGATTTAACTTCATCAACTGGATCAATTGGTGATCTTAAATACTCTGGCCGTCCTTCAACAAGTCGTGCAACACAAAACATGGACACAGTTCGTGAGAGTGTTGCTGAGAGTCCAGGATCATCAATTCTTTACCGTGGTGAAGAATTGGACATTTCGAGGAAGCTCTCTACAGCGTATTCTCACGAAGGATTTGCAGCTTCGTGCTTATAAAGTTCAATTGACTCAAGAACAGAACCATGCAGGGCGAAGAGAGTTCGTTTTCATTTTGTTTGATGGCTTCATTAATCGACAAAATTGTCATATCTGGGGTTCAGAGAATCCACGAGTGATTGTTGAGAAACAAATGCATCTACAACAAAAAAATGCCATTATTAATTAAAAACCTGTGTTTTCTATCAAAATTACTTCTTGCCTGAATTTTAGGACACCCTATATTTAAAAGCACTGGACTTTATTAAATGTAGATTAAGTTCTTTTCTGGTGCCTCTTCAGATATATTACACCGATATGATTTGAGAAATGCCCATTTATTCAGTATTACTGTGAGCTTCATGGTGTTCGCATTACCATGGTATTGATTACATCAGTTTACAACTGTTAAAATGTGTTGTTACAACTAAACTCTCAAAATCCACGATTCACACCTAATGTGTTAGTTACAGATGAAGCTCTGAGATTCAATGGGATCAATTTCAGTACTATTTTTCTTCGAATTTTTGGGTAAGATTGTCAACGATTGCTTAATGTAACCATTTATATTGACATATCGAATGAATAGTTTCCGGAATCTCGAATTTCTACCAAATGATCTGCTTGGACTTCTTTAAGCTTCTTAGCTTTTCGACAACAAAAGTGGTTCTTGTACGATGGTCCCATATCTTCATTTTCAACAAAATGTTTAAGATTACCTTAAGGAACTTCAAAAAGTACAATGAATTCGACGAGGCCGACCGCGATTACCTGACAAACCTCTTCAACTCTTTTTAAGGGCACATTTAAAAAAATATAATGATGGTACTGAAGTGAAAACTATTGATGATTTATGTAAACGTATTTCGTGTACTAACTCTAAGTGGAGCTAGAAGAAGGAACATTTGTCTTGGCTTATAGAAACTGAATGAACGTATTTAAATATGTTGTCGATTGTGCGGAGGATTAAAAAAAAATTGAACAGTTATTGTAACATGATTTATTCGATATTGTAGTTTTGGTTTCAGTTTTTACCTTGAACTCGACTTTAGAATTATATTAACGTCATATGTATACCAGGGCGGATCTGTCGAAATATCCACTTCTTGGATGTAAGAGGGGCAAGCTAATTTTTGCTGGAATACCTTCAGTACAACTCACATAATAAAAGTGTAGATCCCTAGAGCTCGGCGAGATCCGGAACATTTTCAAAATTGCAAAAATGTTTAAAAAATTTTAAAAATCCTATTTTATCTCAGTTTTATTTATATCTTGGAACCTATGCATTTTGGAAGAATATTGAAGAGGAAAAAAGTTTTAGAGTTAAATTTTGCACAATATACTGCAAGTTAAAAATGTTTAAATTTATTACGGATGTTGCAAAATAGCAATAATTGATGAAAAAAGGCAAAAAATCAAGTCTTCTGGATGTTTTTTTTTTTAATATTTTAATTGCTTCGAGGGCATTCTAATTTCGGTAAAAACACACTTTATAATATAACAACACACCAAATTTCATTAAAATCGGTTCTATATTTTTCGCAAAATAATTTTTTGAAAAAAATTTTAAATTTTCAATATTTTGCACGGCCTCAAATAAAGCATACATTACATTTATCAATTTGCAATTTAGTTTTTTTTTTAAATTGGTTATAATTTTAAAGTACTCGGAAAGCCACCCTCTCACACTCTTCTTGTTTTGAGTCACTTTTCGCGCGTGCGACCGACAGCTTGCCGATAACTTATGAATATGAAAATGTTTTCCAGCTTAAACTCGGAAAAACGAAGCCACTGGATCAAAGATTATTGCTAAATTGTTTATAAATTAACGATAAATGCCGATAAACTTTGACCGCTTATATCTCGAGATCTAATAAAATAAATTTAACTTATTTTTAAAAGAAGCGTCTTTCCGAGTATTTTAAAATTATAATTTTTGAAGAAAACTTAGTTGCAAATTGATAAATGTTTAAAAATAAAAAAAATGTTTAACTTTAAACATTTACTGTGGTCGTCCTAATCAAACGATTTCAATTTCTCAAAAACCATTTGAAGGGTTGAGCGGTCTTTTCTATGAGAAAAAAAATTCATGTATCTAGATGCTTTATTTGAGGCTGTGCAGAATTTTGAAAATTCGAAAATCTTTTGCAAAATTAAAAAAATATATATTTTGCGAAAACTATAGAACCGATTTTAATGAAATTTGGTGTGTTGTTTTATTATACTATAAAGTTTTTTTTAACAAAATTATAATGCTCTCGGAGTAATTAAAACATTTTAAAAAAATTATCCAAAAGACTAGATTATTTTGATTTTTATCACAGCCCCACAAAATAAAAAAAAGTATCGGATCTGGTATTCAGACCCATGTATTTCCATGTATTTTTTTCCGCTGAATCCGAATCTGCCTTCAGATTTGGCCCAACGGGTCTGAGTTTTCGGGGGGAATTTCAAAAAACAGGTCAAAATTCACAAAAAACGTAATTTACGATCGACGAAAGTTATAAAAAATCAAATTATTCTACCAGCTCACTAGACGTATGATTTTTCACTCTTTTAATTCCAATTTATCATCATAGAGTCAGACAAGCTAGTCCAATTTCATTCAAAAACAGAAAATAGATTAAAAACGTCATTTTCATAGCATAATTCGTGTTGCAGAGTTCTGGATCCATCTTTTTATCCACCCATCCATTTATGAATTCATACATCTTTCTATCATCCACCTGTACAACATATAAAACCCACCCATCCACCCATCTATCCATCTACTTTTTGTACTGAGACATGAGATAACAGCCTAGAAGATTGAGAATGCAATAAAACTAGAATACTCTACTTTCTAAACAAAAGAAAACGATATCTACAAATCATTCTTATTTTTGTTGCTATAACGTGTTCTCTTTTCTTCAAGGGATCTATGCAAAGTGTTACGCTTTCGTTTACTCCCTCTATTTTTCGTTTCTCTTTTTAACAACCAACAAAAATCGGCCATCATGTTTTCATCCCATCTTCCTTGATATCGCTGTTCTATAACCTTCATATCCTGATGAAATCGTTCGCCTTGTTGTTCGCTATAATTCTCAAGATTTTTCGATACAATTTCTTCGTATTTAGGACTCTTGTTGTTTTCTAAAAAAATTTTCACTCTATATACATAGGAAAAAATACTTCTGAGGCGAAATTGAAAGAAGGTGTATTCGATGGACCTCAGATTCGGACATTTTTCAAGGATGCAACATTCATCACTACAATGAGTAGCGTTAAAAAGAGTGCTTGGACTAGTTTCAAAGCTGTAGCGACAAATTTTTTAGAAAACAAGAAGTGTCCTAAATACGAAGAAATTGTATTAAAAATGATAAAAGACTTCCAAGACCTAGTGTGTTTGATGAACTACAAGTTGCACTTCTTTCATTCACATCTGGATTGGTTTCCTGAAAATCTTGGATCTTGGCGAAGAACAAGGCGAACGATTTCATCAGGATATGAGGGTTATAGAACAGCGATATGAAGGATGATGGGATGAAAATATGATGGCCGATTTTTGTTGGTAGTTAAAAAGATAAACGAAAAATAGAGGGACTAAACGAAAGCGTAAACCTTTGCATAGATTCTTTGAAGAAAAGAGAACACGTTATAGCAACAAAAATAAGAATGATTTGTAGATATTGTTTTCTTTTGTTTAGAAAGTAGAGTATTCTACAAGTTTTATT